CTATAGTTTGACAAAAAAAAGGTAATAAAAAAACACACTATATAAAACTTAATTTCATTAAAATTAATCATACTCAATTTTAGAGGAAATCAACAATTGATTGATAGGAGTAAAAGCAGAAAAGAGTATTCTGGCATCACGATATGGCATTCATTCACAAACTTTGTAACAAGGCATAGGATTAAACTGGTGCAACTTTTGATATATAAAATTTATTCAAAGGTTCCATTCCTATGCCCATAACTAGAAAATTTGTAGCTGCAGGAAAGTTGATTCCGTTGGAAGCTAAGATTTGATTCAATAGACGAAACAGTGGATTGCAAATGAACGAGAAGAAGATTAGCTTCAATTCAATAGTAAACACATGGGTGACATTGTTGAAGTTGCAATGGTGTTGAGGGTCTACCTAACAAAAAAACAAAGAGCATAGTGGTACACGCTAGTCTCTTCATCAGAGGAACACAGTGTAACCACAGCATGAGCGAGAGAGAACGCACGCACGCACGGTCACGGTCACGGTCACTAATTAAAGCTTTCACACGTGAGTCTAGCCTAGGAATTTAGGGTGGACCCCACTTGTTTCGTTCACCACAAAACTTAGAAAAAGTGGTTTTGACCCTACTGCATCGTTGCTTTCCCTGTCAGTCACGAGCCACCCACGTGCCAATCACCCTCAAACTCCGTTTATAACTCCAACGCCTTAAGTTACCCATTTTCGCTTTTATCAAACTCTCACCCTCAACGTCAACGTTACAATTAAATATATTCAAATTGAAAATAACTGGTCTTTTTAATACACATCTAAAGACACATAATAAAAAAAAATTATAAATAATTAAAATTATATCATTTATTATATATAATTTCACATTGGCTATCACTTTGTTATTTTAGAATATAAAAAACTGATTATTACTTTTTTTCAATAATAATTTTAATTTTAAAAATTAAACTGTCAACTAATAACTAAAATAACATTAAAAGTAATTATCACTTAATTACTGTAATAATTTCGGTATTTTTAATATAAATATTTTAGTAAAATTAATTTTGACCATATTAATAGGTAAAAAAGAAAAATCTTCGAAGATATGAACGTACAAATAATAAAAAAATAAAGGAAAAACAATAGGGTAGCGGCAAAAGTGGACTTCATCCGGCATTGGGTCCCTGTGTCGCAACACAGCCCCGCAAAACCTGTGGCTCTTAACCAAAGCAAATCTTTTTATTTTTATTTGTTTTGTTGGAATCACATTATAAATAATTATGTCGAATTATTAATTGTGGAATTATTTAGATTTAGATTCGATAAATCGATGTATATTAGGGTTACGTGTTTTTGTTCAGCTTTTGGTTCGTTAATCTAATTCTATCCTCACCCATAACCTTATCCCTTGTCCTTCTCGTCAATACATTCAACATCCTTCTCAACCCTATCGATACCAATACATTCATAAACTACTTATTATTTGCATTATTTAATCGTCAAATTACCCAAAACAAAATATTAACATCTTACATATACGGAAGTTTCGTTTGCTCTGGTGGATAATGTTGTTTCCCCTTACGTCTAAAACTTTTTATAAGGGGAAAAAAATGAGATATTATATTAATATTATGTTTGGTCAGATGTATTTAGCAAAAGAAAATTAAGAGCGGAAAGTTTTTAAGGAAGAGTGGAGGTTTATATGTTTAAGTGAGAAAATAAATTAGAAAGAAATTATAGATTAAAATGACACGGGACTCACCAAATTTTTTTAAAAAAATAAGTATATATATATATATATATATATATAGATAGATAGAGAGAGAGACAGATAGCAAGAGATCTAGTTATTTGTGATATACTAAATAAATAATTATTAAATTTAATACAAAATAAAAAAATAATCACCACCAATACTGTTTTTAAATAATAAAATTAATTTAAGATAAAAGAAGTATAATAATTATTTTAATAATTTTAAAATTATAGAGTCTAATGTATGAATGCCATTAAATATTATAATTTTTAATACAAAAATCATTATTATTTATTTATTATACACGTAATAGAAAAATGTTACTTTAAAATTCAGTTATTTTAGAAAATTAACGAACAAATAAAAAATATGACATGATTGAGAATGATTAAGAGTTTTGTGACATATTTATAGTTATCTTTTTACAGTCTTTTATATTAATTTTTATAATATATGTAATTTTTAAAATACACCATATCTTATTTATTAATAAAAGAAAATATACGATGAGAAAATTTAATAATTTGATTATAATTAATTAAGATTTAAATAATGTGGTATGTTAATTAGGGGGTTGAGATGAAAGGGGGGGCATGATTATTAGGAATTAAAATTAGTGAGGAGTGACGTAAGGTGATGATATGATTATGGATGATGATGGGTATGAAACATTTTAGCAACACCATTGCGAGTAGGATCTATATAATATAGTGTGTAGGTTGAGAGAGAGAGAGAGAGAAATATTGATAATGATGAAAAGGATGAGTGATGAGAATTGTTATGTGTCCTACTCAACACCCGGCAAACCCACTTTCCATTGCCGCATTCTTGTCTCCCCCAATCCCTCTTTTCCCCTGTCCCCATCTCCTTTTTATCACCTCTCACCCCCCCCTCCCTTTACTTCACTCCTTTCTAATCATTTCTTTACTTTTATTTTTTATTTTTTTTCATTCTTTCAAGTTATCAAATCTTCACCAATTCATTTCTCATGTATTCAACATTATTCTTTTATATCGTACTAGACATTATTTTAATTTTTGAAAAGATTGTGATTTTTATAAGTTTTTTAATTTTATTTAGTTATAAATTATTAAAATGAGATTTTTGTCTTAATTTAATAAATTTTATGATTAAATTTATGACATAAGTTATCATTTTAAAAAAATATTGAATGAATATTTAATTAATTCCGGTATTCACACATATTAACTATGGCTTTTATATTGCTACCTATTTTATGAAAAATATTAATTATATATGATAAAATATTTTCTACAAAATATCTATATTAAAACAATTAAAAATATTTTTAAATCAATTTAAGTATTTAAGTAAATTACAAATAAATAAAAAATAAGTATTTAGGTAGCAATTATTTAAAAATTATAAAATATTTAAAGAAATAGATAAAATAAAACTATATTTTATTTATTTAGTGAGTACATTCAATTCACCCGATCACACGTGTATTGAATTTTATTAAAGATAATAGATTTTAATCATTTAAAATAATAATATTTATCAACAGATGTTATCTAAGTAACGCGTCAGATCTTTTTATATTCAATTTTAAACATAATTGTCATGTTTTTATATTTTTATATATTTACTTAAATGAAATTTCTCTCGCTTAAGCAAATGTATAAAAATACACAAATATGACCGTTTTTAAATATGAGGAGATCTGAATCCGTTTAAGTAACAAATAATAACTTAAATAAAATTTTGACTTTAAATTTTTATCCAACAAATTTTTGGTGGTAGAACTAAAGTCGATAATGTAGCAAATAACATTGTATCTGGTAGACCGCTCCTAAACTTCATAAAACAAAGTCTTAAAATAATATATACTGTGCTCCATGCTTTTTGACAGGTGAAACATGCAAAACCACACCAAATTCATTGACATATAGTACTCTATTAAGAAGATTAATTAGTTAAAGATGCTTCAGCATTTTAGGAATGTACACGACTTAAATATTAAATGTTATTTAATAATTTGAAAGATAATCTAGTTTAATTTAAATACACTTTATGACACTTTGTCAATTGGATTTGTTTTCTTCTCCCGTTGGATGAAACTTGCATCGATATAGTCTAATAAGATTATCAAAGCATTCTAAACATTTTTATCCGATGCATATTGTTGTTTAGTTATGACTTATGATATGAAATTAAGTGTGTGAGACAGAAGATTATGCTGTTATTTAATTAGAAATTAGAAACCATTCATGTCCGTGATGAAAAAGGTTACGTACAGGGGAATGTGATGTTGAAGAAACGCGTTGGAAGCATTTGAGCACACGTACCTTTATTTTTCAAATGAAACACTGAAACAGACCATTGGTAGGATAAGGGTATCTCCGTATGTGCAAGTTGTATGCGTATATAACACTTTTCCCTGAGTTTCTGCGCATGTCTATCTGCTGATATCTTTCATCCTGATATTTCTCAGCACAAAAAGGACGTCAATGAAAAATAGCGATAGAGAAAATGAGCTTAACCTTTTCAATTTGCGCATGCAACTCCCAAAGTCGATCATTTTCAATTTCATAAATCAATTCAAAGTGAGACTACGTGCATTGAATTGATAAAAACAACGACAGTAATTTCAGTTCCACCACTTAATTTAAAGTGAGACTACTACGAATGGATAAAAATGTATTGAAACTGAAAAAATAGATTTTATATATTCGAACAAAAGAGAGAGTTCTATCGTTTCGGGTTTACTAGACGAGTGAATATTATTTTGCATTTCTTTTATTTTCAAATATAATCTGAACTATTTATAGCTAAAAAAGATTGAACATTTGGAAAACATTCGCTAAAAAAGCATGTGAAACCGATCGATTAACAATGGATAATTCAATTGAATCACAAGCGAGTTGGCGATTCATAATTATGTGCTTTAGTTTAATCAGTAATCACAAACAGTTAAGAGTGGTTGTTAAGGACATAAGGGTAAAAGCGAGATTTGGAAATTGGAAACCGGAAAAAACATAAAAGGGGGTGGCGGGGTCAGACTCATAATTCATAGCACCTGTTAACAGCGACAAGATATTTAATTATGTGTCTGAACATAGCGAGAGAATGGATGGTGTTGATTTCTCCGTCAGAATCAATCGCAACCGTTCAACCCCATTCCACTGTCCAAATTCCCGAGCCCATATCACCATTATTAAATTAACAAAACGACACTGCCTCTGCCGTTTATTTTCCGTTTTGCCCTTCTCGTCTCAGTGTTATTACTACGAATAATTATTTTCGTTTGGGTTTTCCGTCTTAAGGCTTCATTCATTGAGCTTCTCCTCTCACAAGATTTTGTTGCTTTCTGCTTATGGAAGGCCCTTAAACTCTCTCTCTTTCTCTCTCTGCTTCACTCTTCTCTTCTGAACAAAACTCATCATCACAAATAGTATCCGTTTTTTTTTTTTCTGTGCATATACCAAAGCTTGGTTCCTTAGGTGCGTGCTTCCAATGCTTCTTCTCCCACTGCTAACTGCTTTTTTTTTCCTGTGATTTTCTGTTTCTTGGCGCTTTCAGTAGAATGTGCACCTTTTGTTTTTTGAAAAATTTCGGTTTGGATTTGGTGAGTGTGTGGATCTATTTAGCTGCTGCAGTGCTTTCAGTCTTGCTTTTTTTTTTTGGGAAGAAACTGAGGCTATGAAGAAAACTGAACCAGAAATAGGAAGAGAGGAGAGTATGCTATTCTGATAATTACTTAGTTAACTACTTGCTAGGTTGTTGACGTGTCATTCTGCTTCTGTAAGGATTGTTTATTTTTGTGCTTAGCTCTGCAGTTTGTAATAACATAACGCATGCATGTTTTTTCTTTTTAATTTCTCGCTCTGTTGCATTATTCTGTAAAAAATTGTTCAAGTTGCTTCATAATGGCGTGATCATTATGATTGGGGCGTTTTTAATTTGCACTGAGTATTTTCTGCTTAATTTTTATTGAAGTCTTGGAGGTGATTTTGTTATATGTGAAGTGGATGGTGGTTTTAACTTTTACGGTTTCTCTGTCTGGCTGTTTAGTTCTGTTGTGTATTAGGAGTGTGATGTCATCGCCGGCGGTGGTAACGGAGGAGGAAGGGCGGTGCAAAGGAGAATCTGCTTCTTCACAATCGTTAGATTGTTTCTCCCAGAATGGGGGAGGATTGAAAGAACGGAATTACTTAGGGTTGTCGGATTGCTCATCAGTGGATAGTTGTGCTTCTACTGTCCCAAACTTGTGTGATGAGAAAAAGGGAAATTTGAATTTAAAGGCTACGGAGCTGAGGCTGGGTCTTCCCGGATCCCAATCGCCCGAAAGGGATTCGGATCCGGATCCTTACACTTTAAGCACAGCAAAGCTTGATGAGAAGCCACTGTTCCCCTTGCTTCCTACTAAAGATGGAATATCCTCGTCGTCGCAGAAAGCTGTTGTTTCGGGCAACAAAAGGGGTTTTGATGATACCATGGACGGGTTTTCTCAGGTGAGAAGTTTGAAGATCTTTGTATAGTGAGAATTGGATGTTTCTTGCTGTATTTGAGCCTGATTCTGAGAAATATTTTGTGCAGGCGAAGTTTACAGGAAATACAGGGATGAACGCAATGCTTTCGCCTAGATCATCTGGAGCTCAGCCTACTGCAATGAAAGAAATGCCTAGCAAGGTGTTGCAAGAAAGGCCTTGTGCAGCTAATGGAACCGGTCATAACCATACAGGTGCTTCAATCAGTGGCTGTGGCCCGGCTTCTAAGTAAGTGAAATCTGCCATCTCAAGGATCCATGATGTTCAAGAGAAACTTAAAGTTGAATGAACACCTTAATTGTGATTTACCATGTCTTTTAAGTTATGCTAATATAGTAAAATCTCGTATGTGACAGGGCACAGGTTGTTGGTTGGCCTCCTATAAGATCATTCAGGAAAAATTCGATGGCCAGCACTTCCAAGAACAATGATGAAGTGGATGGAAAACCAGGTCTTGCTGCACTCTTTGTGAAGGTCAGCATGGATGGTGCCCCCTATCTTAGGAAGGTAGATCTAAGAAGTTATACAACTTATCAGGAACTATCTTCTGCCCTTGAAAAGATGTTCAGCTGTTTTACCCTAGGTGAGCTGTTGCAATTTTTATTTACTTTAGCATTAGAACTGGTTATATTAATTAGTTGTTTTAAATTAATTTGGTGGTTAATTTAATTTTCTTCTGGAATATGCCTTTTGTACAATATCAGGTCAGTGTGGTTCGGATGGAGCACCGGGAAGAGAAGTGTTGAGCGAGAGCAAGCTCAGGGACCTTCTGCATGGTTCAGAGTATGTCCTCACTTATGAAGATAAAGATGGAGACTGGATGCTTGTAGGGGATGTACCATGGGAGTAAGTCATTTTTAAATTCTCTATTTGTTTTGTCCTTTTTTCTTTTCATATGTTTTCAAGTAATAGTAACTATAGTACTTTTTAAAATTATTTAGTAAGGTGATTCTAGTGATTTACAAACTTATATTCTAAAAAAGGTGTAATCATTATTAATCAGTCACATGTAATTTGTTGCCATTTTTTCAGGAGTCTAAACAGTTGGCAAACTGAAAATCAATTCTAGGTTATTTTAGCAATGTATATTAAAAGGGAGAGTATTTGTGGTTTAGAAGATCAATTGCTTGTGTTTGTTCCTTGAACACTCGGTCAAGTGATCAATCATATACTTGTTCAAAACATGCAACATTGATACTGATTAATTTTTATTTTTCAAGTACTTCCAAAAGTCCTCCGAGTCTTGTTTTGATTGTAATTTCCTGAGTTTTGCTCAATCTTTTGTGTTTTGGTATCACCTAGAAGGTAATAAACTTAATTTGCTTAAGGATATGATAATTGATTCAAAATAAAAGTCTATGTACAGTACTTAATACAACACTCGTGTATTAATTTTTCTTCAACTAATTCTTCCAATTATAAGAGAGATTAGAGAAAATTGAAGGATACAAAATAGTTGTGATTTGTATAAAAATAGCAGCCACTTACATCCTTCGTATTCAAAATAATGTTTAAGTTATTTGTTCATAACATATAAAATGAGAAATATGCTATTTTGGCAAACCTGATATTTTAAATAATGTATAGCTTATGAATACTGGCAACGCTCAAGTAACCAGAAAGTTGTCCTTTTCAAAAAGAAAAGTATATGTAATTGAGATGTTTAGCTTGCCCCATGTATATGGCTCTTTGCTGTCAAACTTCAGTATTTTCATGCTAGTTCAAATTTAAAAGTGAATGGAATGCAAAGTACTTAAATGTATTTATAATTAGGTAATTTGAATATTGTAATTTTTCTGATTCTTTTTGTGATGTGGTACTTGATTTTGAGAAGATTCTACGAATGTATGCTACAAAGATGTAGTTGGGAGTAGGATGTTTTGCACATGATGTGGAAAAGGACAGAATGGGGAAATATTGATAATGATGCCTCACAAAAGAATGCCCAAGTGGCAGTGACAAATGAGCGAGGAAGGGAGACTTCAGTTGGTGAGAATAAATGTGATGAGAGAGGAGAAGGGGTTTGCAGTGGTTGTTGAGGATTTAGGGCCTTTGGGAAGGGAGGAGAAACATGCCTACCCCTTGAGGAATCTGTAGTCTGATTCTTTTCCATCTTTTATTGTTATTTCTGTTTCTATTATTTTTCCATCTCTGAGGGATTTAGAGGTTTTCCTCTGCTGCAAGGACTTAATCTCCGTTTTATTAAATGGTTCATATCAAAGCATTAACATTTGATTTATGCTGTAAATATTCAATATTATCCAACTAAAAAGCTTAACCATGGCCACGGTTTAGATGCTGAATAAGATTTTAAAGTCTAATTCAGTTTGTTTTAATGTGCTTGTGTCTTTGTAGGCATCTAGGTTGATGTAAATTACTCTACCAAGAAAATGAACTTATGGAATGCAATTTTCTCTTTATTCTACTAGTTCGCAGCCCTCTTCCACTCAATGTTAATTCTATTTTTGTTGCAGGATGTTCATTGACACTTGCAAAAGGCTTAAAATCATGAAGGGTTCTGATGCCATTGGCTTAGGTATGTATTCTCAGCGGTGATTCATTTTACAGTAATTATACCTAACATTGAAGACTATCAAGTGAACCTGTGACCTGCTTAACTTAGACACATGCCATGTCTAAGAACTAATAACCAGCAACAGATTATGACCCTGACGTGTTCAAATGAGATCACTGAATCTATGCAAATGTCGCTGTATGCTGTTCCATGGAATATTTCAAACATTATATAGGAATTAGAAATGCAAAGTTGAGAACGAAAAAATTATTGTACCTCTTTGATTTGTAATATTGTTCTATTTCCGGACTGTTTTTTTACCCTGGTTTTTAGTCGATTAATCATTAAAAATTAATTCTGCAAGCCAATGTGTATTGGATATATAGTTGCTGTTTTTAAGTTGTTTTTGATTTGCGAACGTAGTGCTAAATTGCTTTAAGTTATCCACCCAAAAAAGGGTGTAATTTGTAACGAGGGAACTCATGAAATACCTTGTTATGTTGGCAACTCTATCATGACCTTGTTAAGTACCTCTATTTCGTTCACGAATGTCAATTTAAATTTTAACCAAACTAATATGTACCTTTTTAACTCCCAATTAGTGTGCCTCGTTTTCTTAAGTAGATTTTCTTGCCTCACAGCTCCCAGGGCCATGGAAAAGTCCAAAAGCAGGTGTTAGAGGGTATCCGTGACCGATGACTGCCTTTTGTCTAATCAAGTTTTAATGCCTGATCGAAGGAGTGTGAAAAGCGAAGGATGATGACTGAATTCCCCGGCATTGGTGGTTAAACGCACTTCCAATGTTATTTATGATTTTAAGTCCTGTAAGAGTTTGTCTTGATCTGTTTGTTATATTTGTTACTATCATAATATCATATGAAGCTACCCTGAATGATTGTATTTGTGGGAGTCTGTAATCATTATAGGAACCCTGTTTTGTTTGGATGAATTGAATGTCTGTTACAACCGACATACTGTTCTAACATTTTATTTGTGATTTGTCATCACTCGTCCATTTTTTCCCCTTATTATATTGTTTTATCTTTCGTCGTTATTTTTTTCGCAAATTCTTTAACAGCTTTGGTTCATGTAAAGGAATCAAAATAGATAATCTACCATTATGGCATCCGTTGGCTAAATGATGCGGATTGACGAGAATCCTTCATCTCGAGTTTATATTTAAGATACGCTTGAGATAGTAACATCGCAAATTAAACCAAAATTTCAGTTACTAGGATAAAATTGCATGTTTCGTTACACTGAAGATTTCCAAAATATATTGTTCTCTACCGCATCTGTCGTTTAATTAGACCAGACTGCGGGTCGTCGTGTAACATATACCTAGTTTTTTCATATCTGGTCTATGTTAGCCGAGATAAAATAAATTATGCGGCTTAATTGTTTGGCTCATCCACATTACTAGCTTCATTTTTTTTTCTCTTGTTTGATCGTCTTGTTATCTACATTACCTGGAACATGATCTTTGACCTTTCTAGCCTAAAACCATTAGGATGTCAAATGAATTACCGTCAAAACATTATACAAAGAAATGAACTAATTGAAAGTAGCGCACTCCAGTCCTAACTTTTGGGAATGCGATATCTAGAAAGTAATTCAACTGCAAATGCTAAACAGGTATTGAAGGATCTGGGCTGTCTGGATATACATAGTATACAGTCATTGCGAATATTCATCTAGTGCACGCAGTATTTTTGTTGAGTAAGTTTTTTCTTTTTTTCATTTTATAACCAGAATGTTAGCCTTGTTTTGGCGTTTTTCGATTTCTTTATTTAATTCCTTGAATGGTATGGTCCATATCGAGACCTCATTTTGCTTGCTATGCTTATTAGCACAATGCACAAGATGGAATACAAAATATGAATGGTTTGTTTCTCACTTGCTCCCAAATTGTTCGTGTCTGTTGCAAGAAACATAATATCTTTATTCAAAAACTTTCTTAGCGAGCATTTGGAAAGGAAAAAAAAATTACATTTTTATCTTATAATTAGTAGAATCCAAACTTACTATTAGTAGGTGGCATAGCTTTTATTCTTTATAAGGAAATAGCAATCCTGATTTTTCTTTATACAATGATAACAATCTTTTACTACCCCTTAATTTATCGGATACAGCGTGTTAAATGTTTTGTATTTATATAGTATGGTCAGAATTCGGTCTTTGCCTAATTAATTTTAAGAAATGTCATCTAATTTGACAAGCCATGCAAAAGAAAGAAAATAAAACTGTTAAAATATAAATCACAATTTATGTTTATACATATATTTTTTCTTTCATTTTTTAAGTTAACAACAGTGGCAACATGGTTAAATTTTTGAATTCATGCAAATTATCCAAGCTCATCATAAGTTCATTCCTAGTGGCTTAAGACATCTTCTGTTTTGAAGTATGATCCATCCAAGCAATAGAAGCAAATAAGTTTTGAGTTGGTGCACTGCTACCTTATCGCTGGTTTTCTTCGATCAAATTTTAATGCATCTTATTGCAGGTTAAATATACATACGTGTGAACTTGCATTGTTGTCAGCTTGTTTTGACTTATGATTAGTACTGTTGAACTTTATGGTTGTCATTACTAATCAGACTTCATGATTTAATAGTTTAAACATTGCTAGTGATGCATGATGGATTTGAATTATTCCCTGGTTAGTGCAAGATTAATTATTGACCAAAAGCATTAAATAATTTTAGAAGTACACTTATGGTAGTTTGTCATTTCTTCTAGATTCTATGGGGATTATAATGCTTATTTGAATTTAATCATGTTCAGCTTAATGGGAATATAATGGCGTTCCCTTTGAAGGAAACACAACATTAACATGAAAAAGCTTTTGACATTAGTGCGCATAGCTTTTAAAGGTAGAATCGTGAGGGAAATGGTAGATATCATACTACAAAAATTGGAATTTTGTATTCCACACTATGCATAAATGTATTATTTTTATTGACAAAATTTAAACTGTAATACTATAAATAATGTTAGTGTTATTCTCAAATCAGTATTAGAGTTTTATCTCTGTATCATTCTTTAATGTTGGTGCATTGACCTTTAATGTTAAATTTTATTACGTAGATTACTGATGTGAAATTTTAATTCTGATCAAAGAATAATAGCAAGGGTACCGTAGAACACCTAACCTTTGTCCTATTTTCACCAAATGTTATTTTCCAGCAAGTTTTTCATCTTATCTTGATTTTTTGGGACTGTAAAGGGGGACTTAGGAGTAGTGTCTAAGAGATATAACCCAAATCGATAATCTTAAAAGGAAAGTAAAAGACATCTAAAAATGAAAGGAGTAATGTTGGAAGCATTAATTGTAATCATTACCTAATGGTGGAGAAAAGCTGTACTGAAGAGGTTAGGTATCAATTATTGATTTATTGAAGTTGGATGTCACTTGTTTGGAATTCTTACCCGGATGTGATATAAAGTTAAGTTTCTTGGTGCGATTATTATTTAACCGTTTTAATTAATCACAGTATCAGCTGTTCATTAAGTGATAACAAAAAAAAATAGGAACCATCGCAGTGCACATCATCGTGTTCAAGACTGAAATCAAATTGTGACAAGGGCAAGTAACCACCAGCTTTATTTATTAGGCTTGCTGTTGTAAGTATCCATTGTGGAGCCAAACTTCAATTTGTGTGGATGATAATAATGTTTGACCTATTATAGTGTTCTTGATGTGATTCATGAAGCTTAATAGGTAATGTTTTTGTCATTGCGGTTGTAATTATTAAAGCTGCAACTTTAATATTGCTGAACGGAACTAGAAAATAAAATCTCTATAGCATTAATTGAAGTCTTATTGAAGCAGACAGTGATTCTAGAACATCCGGGCAAGGTAATATTGTCTGCAGTTTTGCAATATAATAGATATTTAATAAATTTCAATTTAATAATTAGAAAAATTTGTAGACATAAAAAATAAATTAAAAAAAAAAAAAGGAGAATGAAGATGCTTGAGAGCCATACAAAGTGAGCAATTTAGTGGTAATCAATGTTGATATTCCTCTTTTACTTTGAAATTTTAATGGGGTGGACTAAATGACACAAGATTTTGTTTCCTTCCATTTATTCAAAAGCAACATGATAAAATAATAGCACTAAGCAGCTGTTTCCAAAGAGGTGGTGACTGTGTGAATGTTGAAAACAATCTATTTTTAAACAACAAGATCCTCATAATAATTATGCAAAGAATAGTATAATAACTTATGCTACATTAAGAAAAGCTTTAATTCCAAGTTTCATAATGCAAATCACAATTCCCCCCCTCTCTTTCTCTCTTTAAAAACCCACTAACAATTTAATTTCACGGGGAAAAGTGTTGGGGATGATCTTGTTATGATCCTAGATAGTGGGGTGCTCTTGGTTAGGCCTGTTGGAGTGAAAATGATAGTATGAAACCGGACATCAGTTTGGCAAAAAATAACTCATAAATTAGTTAAAAGTTTTTTTAAAAAATATTTTTAGGTAATTAAAATTTCATATTTTTTAATTAATTTTTATTTTGAATCCCTTTTTGTTAAAGGATCAAATATTTTATTTAAAAAAATTAATATAAATTGTTTAGTAAGTTAAGCTAAAATGGGTACTCATTGGAAATAGAACAATATTGATAGTAAAAATAATTTTTAAAAATATAAGCTAAGTTCAAATACAATTTCAGATAACGTAGTAAAAAAAGTTATAAGAATTCATTTATTAAATATCTCTATTTTACTCATATAAAGTTACAAGTTGATCAAATCAGTTATAAGGTAACTTAAATAGCTTGTCCAACACACAATCTAATATTCTAGGAACATCTTCTGTTTTCTCTCTATTTGCATATACCTCCCTTCCTCTTAATAATCTGCCTAACAATGGAACCTCAGAAGGAGAAATGATGATCAAACAGCTTTTCTTGTAACTGTGACTTTTACCTTTCATTTTCAAGAAAACAGTGGCCCATAAGTTTCAAATGGTTGTAGCTAACGTTCAAGTCACTTCAATTCATTTATCTACTGGCAACATCTTATATATGTGCTTAGCAACAACTGTTAAATGTTAGCATATCTAGTCCCCAATAGCATGCACATTGTCTATCCATGTTTCAAATGAAAACGCCATTATGTTGCTGAACTGAAGAGCAACAGTAGAAAATAACAAAACTTGTTTGGTTGCTTTATCAATCTTTTTCAATCAAGTTCCAATATGTTTTTCCTGTGATGAGAATTTTAATATGATAATAATAAGAAGGAATTAGACCCTTCAATTATTTTTCTTAGATTTAATTTATAGCAAAATATTTAGATCAGATCATAAAGAGATCAGCTTGATATCATTTTCATCTGTGTAGCTTAGGCTGCCTTATTGTCCATTACAACTCAATACACAAACCAAAAATTATGCTAAGGCTGCAAATCTCTCTTTCTCTATTACCTTTGGTGTTCTCCAATAATGACTCCACGTGTTCCTTCAGCTACCACCCTTGTAGGAGGCATGTGTCACTTGTGATACATTGGGATCATGACAGAAATTAAAGTCATACAAACATTCTACACATGCATCGTTTTGATGTAGCATAATTGATTGAGATTCAATCAACTGTGGTATAGTTTGATGCAGAGAACAGTTGCTTGTTTACATCTTTATAGTATGTAGAACAGGACTTGTACACAGTGCTATTTAAAAGAATTGGCAAAGAAATACTGTCAAACTTATAAATGTTTGAGAGCAACTTGACATGACCCCATCTAGATTTTCTGATATTAGATAA